CATCAGATGCATATCAGAAATTATATTCCTGGCCGGGTGCGTTAGCTCACTCCTGTAATCCTAGCATTCTGGGAAGTCAAGGTAGATGGATTGCTTGAATCTAGCCTTAATAAAAGTGAGACCTCGTCTCTACTAAAAATGGAAAAACTAGCCAGGCGTTGTGGATGCCTGTAGTCCCAGCTACTTGGGAGGCTGAGGCAAGATGATTGCTCAAGCCCAACAGTGAGAGCTTTCTGTCTCATCAAGAAAGAAATTATAACCTCATAGACTTTCAGGTACTTGAGCTGCTAACACTCCCTTGGTCTTCTGTCCATATGTTTCTGCAAATGCCTGCATGGTTTCTAATGGTGTGCATCAGAATGAGACAGGTAAACATCAAAAGGAAGAGCCATTCATTTTCAAGAGAAGCTTCTAGACCTCTGGGATTTCTTTAGCTATTATCCCAAAGCCTCCAGGCTCAGAACCAACTCTGAGTTATTACAGCGGTTTCTTGCATCACCTTTGTTAGAAACTGAGCACCTGCATAATGACTGCGAAGTCTACAGTGTGTAGCCAAATGGCTCTGCAACATAGCTACAGACCACTGCGTGTACCACATGGGCACTAGGACACCCAGAGCAGGTACCCATACAGCCATTTAATCAGGGCTTCTGGTTTTAGCCAAAAGGACTAATATAATAGTGTCTAGTAAAAGCGTATCTACAGATACAAAATAAGATACAAAAGTATGGAATTTCTGCCCCTAACTTCAGATGACCAAATCTAAAAAGAAAACACAAAACAAAACACTTCCAAATGAACTACTTTATCTTGGCTAAGAATTATTGTGGGTTTTGCTTGGTGAATTTCTCTAGGCCACCATCATGTTTACTTTTGCGTTGATTTTACTACAACAAGTAATGGGATACATTAATGGGGCTCCTCCATAATTATCCCCGGATTGATTTGGCCATTGGTGGGCTTCATTTTATCACTAATGAAACCTTTACTGTTGAAAACAAATGAAATAATTTATAAAGGAAACAGTATGAGCTAGAAAAAAGCCTGTCCTGAAACAGGGGAGACTTGACCTAGGTCCAGCTCTGCCAATGACCCAAATAGGTCACTGAAAACAAGTCGTCTCTTTGTTCTCGCCTTTCCAGTAGGCATAGAGTGACTAGTATGTTTTACTTGGGTTAAGGGGCATGCAGACTTTAGAACACAAAGCTTCTCTTGTCCCCATGCCCAGGATCTGCACTTGTCAGGCACCCCCATGATGTGCATTTCACATGCCAGTGCTCTCCACTCACAAATCTCCCAGACCACAACTGGAAATCATATTATCCAGAACACTCCTTAGTTTCTGGGCAAGAACAAAAGAGGTTTCCTTTTTTGCCTGAAGTCTGTTCAATTAGAATGCCAGGAAAACGGATTTGGGTCTCCAAAATTTAAACAAGTACCACTTAGTCCCTTCATATAAGCAGAAATGCGACTCTATGTAAATATTCATAATGAATATTTCATAGCACATTGCAATTAAATTAGTGACTAATGTTAAAAGCCAAAAAGGTAATCTGTTCAGATGTTACACTGAAATTGTCTCTAAATTCACTCCTTAAATCCAAACCAGAATCTCAACACCAGTCTCTTTATTATAAAGGTGCTCTGTGTTACAAGTAGCGCCCTCAACAAATGCTGTCTAAAGCCATCTTGCAGAAAGCGTGTGCATCCTTGATCCAGCCCTGCTCCCCCAACCATTAAGCTGTAAACGAATTTTATTTGCCGAACAAATGTTAATGCCATTCGACGTTAATGGATAATGTTGGGAAAAGCATCTACGTGTTATAGCACTGGAACCTTTACAGATGAAATATAGCTTAACTTAGAAAACTGCCTGTTACAAACATATGTCAACCATGAGGGCCTCTAGCCCTTATCGCCCATCTTCACAGAACTCAGTTATAATTTCTCCCTTGGTTAAGAAAATTTTGCAATAACATACAGATTTATTAGATCCCAGGATTAAAACTCTCTGAGTAAGAATAAAAAATAATTATACTTTAGAACACAATGCGATATCCAAATGACTGGAAAACAGTCACCTCAGCAAAAATTTAAGAGGAAGAAGTTTAAGAGGAGGTTGATAGCATTGGTCATAAAACCTCTGTGAGTTTAAGTGCATAAATGCATGATCCGGCACTTCAAAATCATAAACATGTGGAAACGGGAAGCCTCCGTTCACAGCACAATGCCTGAGCAGTTTCATTAAGGAGCCATTCTTCATTTAATAAGACAGCACAGTCGTCGAGCGAGAGGTTGCTGGTGGGAGACGGCTTTGTTAAAATCCCAGCCCTATCACTTGCCAGCTGCTTCATCTCCCATAAATTGTGTTCAACTTCTCCTCCCTCCAGTTTCCTCATCTGCAAAATGGGGGCGTTAACAGTTGTCACCTCTGGAGGCAGGGTGAGGGTTATATGGGTTAATACCTGCAAGGGACTTAGAACAGAGGCCTCATGCACAAGGAGTGTTCACTAAACATCAGCTCTTCACGATTTGGTAGCTGTCACTGTGTGGGATACATTGCAACTGAAAAAGCAGCTGAATGCAAACTAGGGCCATTCCTCAGGAGAGGGCTCTAAACCCACTGACTGGATCTCCTGTTTCCTCCGGTCTGGATTCTGTTCCCTCATGCCACAGAGACAACACTTAAAAGGCCACCGGTGATTGTTTTGTTGTCTGAGCCACTGGTTGTTTTTAGACCCTCTCAGAAATTCTGAAGGCTGCCAAGCTCGAAACTCTTTCTCCCTGGATTCTGTGACTTCTTACCATCATAATTTCCCTTCAACTTTTCTGGCCACTCCCTCTCCCTTCTCTTTGCCAGTGAATCTTCCTTCCTGGGGCCTCAAAATATCAGAATTTCAGTTCTCATCGTTTCTAGGTCTCTAGTGTCTCTCCAGGACAATTTACCCATTTCTACGGTTTTATCACCCATGACAGGCTAATTAAACCAAAATGCTGACTGCAGTTCAGACCTCTGCTCTGACCTCCACACCCACCCTGCCTATTTCACTTATCTGTGTCATTGGAAATGGTTGAAATTATGCATGAAGGTGTAGGCAATCAGTATTGCGGGAAGGTGGGGTGGCCAAGGGGGTGTGAGGCTCTTATCAGCTCTCATTTGAAAACAATCACCCTGAAGCAGTGGTTCTCAACCTTCCTAATGCCCCAGTGTGTTTTCATTGTTAAAAAGGGGTCGCGACCCACAAGTTGAGAACCGCTGCTCTGAAGTTTATTAACGGTGCAGCACTCAGTCTTATTCTAATTGAGTTTTACTTTACCCAAACTATATCCTTTTGGTGTCTAAATTACTCAAGTCTTTACACAAATTTCATCCCCTGCTTGGAGAATAAAGAAGGAAGGTCACAGGACAGATTTCTTCTGTATCTTCAGGAAAGGCAAGAGGGGATAAGAGAAGTAGAACGTTTCTTTTTTTGAGACAGAGCCTCAAGCTGTCCCCCTGGGTAGAGTGCCGTGACATCAAAGCTCACAGCAACCTCCAACTCCTGGGCTCAAGCAAGTCTCCTGCCTCTGCTTCCCAAGTAGCTGGGACCACAGGTGCCCACCCCAACGCCTGGCTATTTTTTGATTGCAGCTATCATTGTTGTTTGGCAGGCCCGGGCTGGAATCGAACCTGCCACCTTAGGTGTATGTGGCTGGCACCTTAGCCACTTGAGCCACAGGCACGGAGACTAGAATGCTTCTAATTAGGGAAACCAAGAAGGGATTGGTGGTGTTCTAGTATTAATCATTTTGTGGATATTAGCACATAATCAATCAAAAGAAGGTGGTTTAAAAATGGAATATTTGGGTTCCAAACAGAAAAGATAAAAATCTGAAAACGTTATACCAGCATCATACACTGCTTATTGTTTAAGCTGAAACAAATTCCCAGAATAGACAACATAGATATAAAATAAAATATATATGTTAACATATATTTAAATGCCAGAAATGAAACTACCTGCTTTAATAATTATGTTCTATATAAATCTCTGCCAGAAAAAAATCATGAATTCAACAAATCAAACTACAGTGAATTATTCCGGTCAATCTGAGAGTCAAAAGTTTTATTTATAAAATAATGCTTTGCAGAAAGAAAAAAAAAATCCTGTTTCTGAAAACAGTTAATGTAAAGTTTTAAACCAAGTAATTACTGTAATTCACCAGCAATTCAATAAAAAGTGTCCAAAAGTTAGGACCATATTAAGATAAAGTTTTTTTTTTTTTAATACAGTGAAATTGCAGACCATCTGGCCTAATTTTTTTTGGTGTTTTGCCCAGAGTAATATCAGCTTTTTGAGAACTTAAGTATTAGGGTATTCTTCTGAAAAAAAATGTGAGTGAAGAAAACATACCAGTTGATGACATTCTATTTGTACATTCGAATACCTGGGAAAACACTTCTATGGTGGAACAGCCCACCCTGCGTCTGAGTGCAGACGAAACTCGTTCATAGAGGGAATCCACACCAGACGCAATAGCAAGAAAAGGCCAGGCACAGCCAGAGTAACCAGGGAAATAACAACATGTTCAACAATACAGAAGCAAGTTTTCAGACTCTGCACATTCCTTGTCAGGTGCTTCTGATTCTAATTAACTTTAGAAGAAAAATAACAAGGCAACCCCTGCCTGACTCAGAAAGTACAGACTCTTTAAGGATGCTTTTAAACAGCAGGGTGATAGACGGGGCATCCAAATGTGAGCACCATCATATTTTTCATCTAAATTCTGTTCTTCTGTCTTCCAGCTGATCACTTTAATACAGTGATGAGCACAGCTCCTAGATTACTAAAACAAGTGTTATTCCCAGGTGTCACGGAGTCAACTTAAGTGATTAACTCTCAGAAAAAGTAAATGTCAAACAACAAATGATGAGCTCCCTTTGATCAGGTAGCCACATGCCTGCTTTCTATTTGGGATCTATGTCCAACAAGCTGGTAAGAGTCAAAGAATAATCTTACCCGAATTATTTCTTCGACACAGCTGTTGCTTTCTCCAGATCTACTCTCCTGAAAGCAAAGGAAAAAAAAAATTAAGCCTGAGGGAATAGATTCATGGGCACAAAGAGATGACACGCAAGTTTCCAAATTAGTGGGGGAAAACTTTAATAGAGTTTCCTTTCCTAATGGAAGCCTCCCCTTGTGGCTACTGCTGTCCCACCTTCCCTAGCCTGGAGTGCCACACGTATCCACCCCAGAGGCTGCGCTGCAGGTATGAGCATAACAAGAACTGCAGGTATGAGCTTTGCACACCTTGGGTTCCATCAAAGTGTGGACACCATGACCTCCAATGTACAAGTGGATCCAGTTCATCCACTGAATATGGGCTGTGGGCCTAACAGGTACAATGGTTGCTATGGGGTAAGTAAAAGTCTAGTTCCACAGTCCTTAAAGTCTAGATTTACTGGTTTCCTGGGCTGAAAACTGAATGACCAAAAAGACCAACGTCTTCTGGCTGCTGGAAAGGCATGATGGGTATCACACCCCAGAACAACTTGTTCTGTACATCCTGCTGCCCTGTGCTGTGGAGATGTGAAGGGGCTCTGGGTGTGGCAGCTACAGGTCACAAGCCAACTCAGAGGAACATTTTAAGTTCCAAAGATACTGCTGGTTACGCAGCCTGGAGCGGCAGTTCTGTGGGGACAGAACACAGTATGCGCTGGTGGAAGTGCCTATCTGTGGTCTTGAGAACATCACTTCTCTTGGTCCTATAATTCAAGGATGTCATCCACACTCAGTGTGAGGTGCTTGGAAAAGGCTTTCTTCAGTCTCTTCTCCAAGCCCACTCTCCTTTCTTCCTCACTTCTCTCGCTACCAGGAATGCTATCTGCACCTCTCCCAGTCTTCCTGGTTAACCCTAAGTCATCCTTCAGGTGACCGCTCAAACACAGATCCGTCGGTGCGCCATCCCTGACCCTGGAGCATTCCCCACAACACCTCCCACTTCTTCACAGGCCTGGCCACACCTGTGAAGGGGCAGTGAACTTTCCAGTACCATCCCCCTCCGCTGGGACACACACTTCATTAATTTAGGAACTTTCCATCCTACCCATTGTACTGCACATGGTATTCAGTGTGTGCAATAAATACTTGCCAGTGGTCATTGTATGAAGAAATGAATGAATTTACTGCCTGCAGTTCTTTTTTTTTTTTTTTTTTTGAGACAGAGCCTCAAGCTGTCCCCCTGGATAGAGTGCCGTGGCATTACAGCTCACAGCAACCTCCAACTCCTGGGCTCAAGCGAGTCTCCTGCCTCCGCCTCCCAAGTAGCTGGGACCACAGGTGCCCGCCACAACGCCCGGCTATTTTTTTGGTTGCAGTCATCATTGTTGTTTGGCGGGTCCGGGCTGGGGATTCGAACCCGCCACCTTAGGTGTACGTGGCTGGCGCCTTAGCCGGTTGAGCTATAGGCGCCGAGCCTGCCTGCAGTTCTGAGGAAACTGAGGCCTATCACAATCAGCTCTAGAACTTTCACCAGGTGCAAAGGCTCCACCACAGAGTGTGCCTTCACTGGCCACCGCCCACCCTCCGCCCAGCCTCCGCCCAGCCTCCTTTACCCAGTGTAGAGCATGCCTGCCAACACACCACCCTTCACACTGGGCAAGGGGGGGCTGAAGGAAGCCAGGTGAGGCTCTGAAAGGTTCTACATGCGATTGGACCTTCTCAGGAATTCTGGGATTTCTCTCTTTCTCCTACCTGAGGTCCAGAAAGTTTACTTGACTTGCCCTCGGCCACGTAACAGGGGAGCCTGGACCCAGACGCAGAATGCCTGGTCCTCAGTCAGGCACATTTTCTCTTCAAGAGGCTTTCTCTTCAAAGGCTGCACTCAAAACCTATCTGTTGGGCGCTGCTGGCCTGGCTTGAGGACACCTCCTGATGCTGCATGTAGCACTACTGATGCCACAACCAGTCATGGCCTGTCAGGCCTTCCCTGGGTGCCGTCCCTGAGTGGGGAGACATGCTGCCTCAGCCCCCAGTTTCTCTCTTTCTACCTTGGGGGGGCTTAGGGGACTCAAAGGGGAAAGTGCCCTTTTGGCCCCAGCCTCTCTCTTTGACAGGTAGGGTGGGAGCAATGATAGGATTGAAGACAAAAGCGAGCAGCTAAAGAGCTAAGAGTAGGAACCAACTTACAGACGGGAGTCGTTCCCCAGTTGGAACAGACAGTGAGACACCCCTAGTGACTATACACTAACCTGGGCCCACTTGGCCCTTGTCATAAAATTAAAATCGCAAATTTAGACCCAGTGGGCTCCTCCAGAAGGATGAAGAGAAGATGCAGGCATATTGAAAAGCTCTGTGAGAGACCCCCAACCTGTCAGTTACCCTAAGGGCAAGAGATAATAGCCAATCCTGGAGGGGTAAGTGTAGGCAGACAAACTAGACAGGTAGGTGAGCTTACAAAAGACAGTGTGTGCTCAGACGTTGGGGTCTCTCCTTCACTTATGGAGAAGAACAACCCCTCTTGTTCTTCCACATTCTCCCTATAGTTAGTCTGCCTTTGTTCTTCAGTAAATGTATATGTTCGTGATTACTCTGGATCTGTGATCACTCCATGATCGCTTGGCACCAGTGTTCATTCTCAGCACTGGGAGCCAAGAACCAGAGAACATTCGCCTCAGAGGGACCTACCAAATCCATTCCCTTGGCTATAGACATTATTTGTCAAAGATATTTCATTACCAGGGTTTCTATGAGCTTCATATAGTTTGGAAACTTTTCTTTTGTAACCACTTATACCCATTTTAGACCACACAATTTATTAGGGTCAAGTACATTCACAATGTCATACAACCATCACTACTATTTAGTTCTAGAAATTTTTAATCACCCTAAATAGAGACTCTATGCCTATTAAGCAGTAACTCCCCATTCCTCCCTACCCTCAGCCCCTGGAAACCACTTACAGGGTCTCTTACTCTGGACATTTTGTACAGACACATCATACAGCATGCAGGTTTTTGGTGTCTAGCTACTTTTACTGAGGATGTTTTCAAGGTTTGTCCATGAATGTATCAGTATATCATTCCTTTTTATGGCTGAATAGTATTCCAATGTACAGATATATCACACTTTATTTATTCATCAACTAAAGGACATTTTGGTTGTTTTACCTTGGCTACTGTGATAGTCACTGGGTGCACATTTTTGTTTTGAACACTTGCTTGCAGTTCTTTCAGGCATATAACGATGGTCATATGCTCTATTTTAAACTCTGGGGGAACCACCAAATGATTTTCCATAGAGGCTGTACTATTTTTTACATTCATACTGTCAGTGTAAGAAGGTTCTAATTTCTCCACATTCTCACCAACACTTGTTATTTTATTTTAATATTTTACTTTATAATAACCATCCTAGTGGGTATGAAATGGTTTTGATCTACCTATTCCTAAGGACTAATGGTATGGGACATTTTTCATCTGCTTTTCAGCATTTGTTTATCTCATCTAAAGAAATGCCTGCTTTAACCAGAATCCACAGAGAACTCAAATGTATTAGCAAGAAAAGAACAAGTGATCCCATCTCAGGGTGGGCAAGGGACTTGAAGAGAAACTTCTCTGAAGAAGACAGGTGCATGGCCTACAGACATATGGAAAAAATGCTCATCATCCTTAATCATCAGAGAAATGCAAATCAAAACTACTCTGAGATATCATCTAACTCTAGTAAGATTAGCCCACATCACAAAATCCCAAAACCAGAGAGATGCTGGTGTGGAGAAAAGGGAACACTTCTACATTGTTGGTGGGAATGCAAACTAATACGTTCCCTTTGGAAAGATGTTTGGAGAACACTTAGAGATCTAAAAATAGACTTGACATTCAATCCTACAATTCCTCTACTAGGTATATATTCAGGAGACCAAAAATCACATTATAACAAAGATATTTGTACCAGAATGTTTACTGCAACCCAATTCATAATTGCTAAGTCATGGAAGAAGCCCAGGTGCCCATCAACCCATGAATGGATCAACAAATTGTGGTATATGTACACCATGGAATATTATGCAGCCTTAAAGAAAGATGGAGACTTTACCTCTTACATGTTTACATGGATGGACCTGGAACATATTCTTCTTAGCAAAGTATCTCAAAAATGGAAGAAAAAGTATCCAATGTACTCAGTCTTACTATGAAACCAATTTATAGCTTTCTTATGAAAACTATAACCCAAT